TTGATTATTGGATTTCTCGCTGCTTCGTTGATTATAGGCGTGTCACTTGGATTAATGTATTTAATACCCAGGCATTGTACCCCATGCTGCTCCCTCTCAATGGCTCTTTTGCCAGCGTTGTTTCGAAAAATAAATGTGCGTTTGCGTCTTCCTCTATTTCGTGCGGTTCTCGTGGCTACTCGATATATTTTGATATACAGTGCGAATACAACGAATAATGGAATCCAATATCCTAAAATAGTTTGCGACAGTATGAACCATGTAACGTCGAAATATGCAATTACACACTCTTCCTCTGAAGTATTGTGGTCACGTTTGAACCGATGCAACAGAAAGTTAGGTAGCCCGTCTATCAGAAATGCTACTATCCATGTCAGACATATTGTTGTCCAAATTTGTCGTTTGTTGATCCGAGTTAAATGTCGTATTGGATCAACTAATGCAATGTATCGATCCACAGTTATAGCCAATATGGCGAATAACGAAACACTGCAAATATTATAATCAAGGGCGAGCCATATATCACACACTAAACGACTAAACGGCCACTTTCCCATTATATTGTACATAGTAAAAACGGGAGTTGATATCGCGCCAACAAATAAATCCGAAACGGCTAGATTGAGAATGAGTAAATTGGATAGCTTCCGAAGATCTCTAACTTTTGCGAAGAGTAATATAACAATGAGATTTTCAACAATTATAGCTAGACTTAAAACAGCACCAGCTATTGCCGTCAGTGTAAGCGGAATTGTTGAGGACGGCGATCTTTCATTGTAACGTATACTACTCACTGTCAGTGATATGAAACTGTGGTTGGAATAGTTCGATATTTCCGGACTCCATGACGTCGACAGCGTAGTATTATCGTACTTCAATGTTGTAGTTTCATGTAACGTCCCGTTTAAATCCATTGTGTCTGTGGTCAATGCGACCACAACACTATTACGACTATATGTTCCCAACTTGGCGCTGATTGTTTGAATAATACCGTGTTGCTGTCACAGTACACTACTTGTTGTTGACACAGCATGTATATGCAATGTGATCTTCGAGAAGTAGATCTCGCAACTGAAGCAAAATCACACGAGATGATGGAATAGAAAGTATGTCTCGAACATAAATTACATTTCTATACTAAGGGATGACGTTGTAAATAAAAAAAAGGTTTTATTATTTTAAAAGGAAGGTCACTGTTGCGAATATGTATACATGTAATGGCCTAATATCACGTGTATGTGCTGTTAATTAAAATGTATTTGATCTTGAAAATTATGTGTGTGTTGAATTGTAAGGATTTTAACAGATGCTTCTCAAAGGCTACATATATCGCATTTGTTCTAAATAAAAACGCCCTCACGTGGCTATGACTGACAATTTAAATGTAGCACGCAGAAGTATAGCTTGACATGTAGGCTATCTGAAGTAATATCGCCTGATTAATCCATAACAACATAGAGAGTATTCACTTAGAATACTTGCTCGTTGCCAGCAAACTGTAACGAAACCATTGAATTTATTCACGGGTATCATATTATCATATTTCAACATCGGTACATCTTAGTTTTGCGTTTGCCATGAAGTCGCTGAGCTGTAATTAACGTATTTAAATGAGCTATGGTAATTTGAACACGTTGACACAATCCAGCATTTCGATTGGTTAATTAGTGACACAGTTTTAGGTCTCGTGGTTTCAGGTTATCTCGTGCATGTATATTGCAAGACATGGGGGATATCGTAGCGCATGCGAATTCATTCGCTTACGATGAAACTAAGTTGAATTTGACCTCCATTTCATAACAATTTATTTTTGTACGTTACTATAATCACTACTGAGAAATAATCAACAATTGCAACACTTCGAAAACAGTAAGTTATTGTGAAACGTAGCATGACCGGATGATGCTACCCTGATCATTTGCTACCATGCAATGCATTCGTGTTTGTTTTTATTTGAAACGTATTTCAGAATATACTTTACGTTACCAACTTTTTTTTAAAAAAAATAATTGCATATTCAATCAAATATACTGAGTATTTTTTTTTTCGTCATCTTGTGCTTTATATATTCACTTTGCCTGACTGATTTTTCAACATTTCAGAACCAAATTGAGGCCTTTGGCCTTACACTTTTTTCTGACGCCTAAATAATAGTGACGCAAAAGCAAGAGATTTTACGTTATTCAGGCTCGAATGCGCAGGGTCCTAACTCGAATTCCAGAAAACCAAAGATATTCGTGTCTAGGAACGCGTGTTTCCCCGGACACTGTAACACACCGAACAAATACACTCAATCAAACCTTTATAGATAGTCAGACGATAACACGTCACGGTGTCTTCAAAAGTACCCGGATGTTACGTATATGTGTGCGTTGCTTATTAACTCAAATAATTACTTCCATGCCTATTGATGATACTTTTGCCATAGACGAATATATAAGGATGACAAATTTCAATACTCATAATTTAAATTAGTATCTTTATTAGTAAGTTAAAAACACAAATAAGTAGCGTTTTGACTGTGAACAAAAAGTGTACAGTCAATTAAAGCTGTAAAACAGCTTTGTCAAGTCCAAGTTTGAAGGCTGAGTATGCCTTAATTTGTACCCACTGATGATAACGAACTTGAACAATAATTAGTGATGGTATTTCCCGATCATTTTGTGAACAACACTGCGAAAGGAATCATTATAAACAGCATAGAGATCGCTATTAAAAACCCATAATTCGAAATTTAAAACCAAAAATTACCAAGATCATAAATGTGTATTGATACTGATAATATAATTGTACACCCTGTCGTTGTACAATCAACTTCCCTGGCGAATATTGAGTCCCTCGATGTTTTACATAGTCAGCTCGTTATCATCATACCGGTGGGAATTCTTTGTATTATATATGCATTACTGGTTGAACAACAGTGCTACCTGTGAGCATATATACGAGGCTAAAGTGATTTATGATGATGTTACAATACACCAAACCGTCGCTCGTGAAATCAATTATGTCATACAGCTCGAACTGAATTAACTAATGGTAACCAGACACCGCTCTATAAATATATTGTACGACATTTATGAGGTGTTTTAACATCTACAAATAGTAGGTCATTCATGCTCCTATCGATATTTTTCTCCATGAGAGCCAACAATAAATTAAGTTTCTAGCCAGCTTGGTTGAAGGATTAATGCTGCAAAAAAATGACAAATACCCACATTCCCCTCTCTCAGAGTAGAAAACATTGATTAGTGCTAATTAAGTCATATATGTTATTCTAATACATTTTATTGGCTTTTATCGCTGAAGCGTAATCGTTTGCTACTTTCAGTTTCATTGGGTCATGAACACATTTTCGATTAGGTTGTTGGCACCACGAAGTGGTAAATGCAATTGTGGTTTAAAAAATTAAAGCATAGTCGTTATTTCAAACTAGTTTACATTTGAAAAGGAGTCTCTTAAGCGCTTTTCGAAACTTTGGATTAGCAAGTGCGTAACAAATAGGATTAATTGCACTGTTTGTGTAGTAAATCCAGTAGACTATTTTAAACACATTTGGGTGAATGCATTTTGGACAGAAGGTAATCACCATAGCAACTATGTGATACGGCATCCAGCAGCAGACCAATGCTGCCAGTAATGCAGTGACGGTGAGGAATGTTTTACTGTCACTCGGTGTGGTGTTAGATCTTCTTCCTGCCATCGTGCTTGCAATATTTGAACTAATTCTCGAATGTTCGTCATCAACAGAAGGCAGTTTTTTGTCCGACTTGGAGTATCGATCAACTGGCTCTGCCGCGGATTTAATTTCGATATTATGCGTGACGAGCGATGTGTGGTTATTGACTACCTCTATCTCCGGTGTTCCGACATGCGCCATTGAAGAGTGTGTCTGTTGACCCGTTGACATCAAAGTATAATTCATTGGTGCGTTCTCCGATCCGCGTACGTGACTTGACGTTACGTCACTTATTTTCGATTTATCGCAGTTATTTTTTTCAAAATTGCAAATCGATAAACCGTGAACTTCAGAATTACCTATATCGGTATTGGAAACACAGGCCCGTTCATTGTGTTCACTATTTTTATCGTTATTTGGCTTCACTGTTTCAAAGTCATCCCCATCCTTTGAAAATGCTAAATTCATAACTCCAATTTCACTGCTAGGAGCATGATTTAGGTCACTGCAATCTGATATTTCTACTTCCACGGCGGCAGTGTCTGTTACATCGTGGTATGTCACATCACTATATTCATTTATCGACATGTTATTAGGTTCCGCCCTGGTTGTCGAGTGATCGTCGCAACCTTCCACGTGTAATCTCTCCTTGACGGTTAGATTTCCATAGGCGTTACCTGAATTCATAGACGTTGCACAATTGTTGTCATTGTCATTGTTGGTATGTGCAGGGCGTAATTTAGCTATACTCGGTTCATTGATTATTGGATCTCTCGCTGCTTCGTTGATTATAGGCGTGTCACTTGGATTAATGTATTTAATACCCAGGCATTGTACCCCATGCTGTTCCCTCTCAATGTGTCTTTTGCCAGCATTGTTTCTAAAGATAAATGTGCGTTTGCGTCTTCCTCTCTTTCGTGCGGTTCTCGTGGCTACTCGATATATTTTGATATACAGTGCGAATACAACGAATAATGGAATCCAATATCCTAAAATAGTTTGCGACAGTATGAACCATGTAACGTCGAAATATGCAATTACACACTCTTTCTCTGAAGTATGGCGTTCACTTTGAAATCGAGGCCACATAAAGTTAGGCAGCCCGTATATTATAAATGATATTATCCATGTCAGGCATATTGTTGTCCAAATTTGTCGTTTGTTGATCCGAGTTAAATGTCGTATTGGATCAACTAATGCAATGTATCGATCCACAGTTATAGCCAATATGGCGAATAATGAAACACTGCAAATATTATAATCAAGGGCAAGCCATATATCACACACTAAACGACTAAACGGCCACTTTCCCATTATATTGTACATAGTAAAAACGGGAGTTGATATCACGCCAACAAATAAATCCGAAACGGCTAGATTGAGAATGAGTAAATTGGATAGCTTCCGAAGATCTCTAACTTTTGCGAAGAGTAATATAACGATGAGATTTCCCACGATTATAGCTAGACTTAGAACAGCACCAGCTATTGCCGTCAGTGTAAGCGAAATTGATAACGACGACGATTTTTCATTGGGACGTATACTACTCACTGTCAGTGATATCAAACTGTGGTCAGAATAGTTCGATATTTCCGGACTCCACGTCGTCGACAGCGTAGTATTATCGTACTTCAATGTTGTAGTTTCATGTAACGTCCCGTTTAAATCCATTGTGTCTGTGGTCAATGCAAGCACAACACTATTACGACTATATGTTCCCAACTTGGCGCTGATTGTTTGAATAATACCGTGCTGCTGTCACAGTACGCTACTTGCTGTTGACACAGCATGTATATGCAATGTGATCTTCGAGAAGTAGATCTCGCAACTGAAGCAAAAACACACGAGATGATGGAATAGAAAGTATGTTTCGAACATACATTACACTGCTATACTAAGGGATGACGCGTTGTAAATAAACGGGGTCATTATTTAATAAGTCGACTGTGAAACAAAAAAATGTATAATTAATTAAAGCTGTATAAACAGCATTGCGATCGCTATTATAAATTCATGATTCAAAATTCAAAACTAAGAAAATTACCAAGATCATAAATGTGTATTGATACTGACAATGATATTATTGTAAACCCTGTCGTTGTACAATCAAATTCCCTGGCGTATATTGAGTCCCTCGATGTTTTACATAGTCAGCTCGTTATCATCATACCGGTGGGAATTCTTTGTATTATATATGCATTACTGGTTGAACAACAGTGTTACCTGTGAGCATATATACAAGGCTAAAGTGATTTATGATGATGTTACAATACACCAAACCGTCGCTCGTGAAATCAATTCTGTGATATAGCTCAAAACTGATTGAAACTAACGGGACACCGCTCTATAAATATATTGTACGATATTTATGAGGTATTTTGTACTGACTTCACTACGGTTATCTTGTAATTATGACGTTTAATCGCATCGAAGCCCCTATTTAGCCTTCATTTATTTCAACACTACGTTTAAATATGCTATCAAACAAAGGAATTACTTTCTCAAATACCATTTATGATAAAGTGGTAAATGACCCGTACGATGTATGTCATTTGTTCTCAATTACTGATAAACTGTTTACTATATGTATCGTGACCCATGGATCACGCCTATATTTGAACATTCATGTAGGCGAGGAACTGTGTCATACAATAGCCAAGACTTATTACATATATTGCATAGTTGAAGAAATATAATAACGTATTCATGACACTATGTTATGTCACGATGTGTATTACATTCCATCAGTTAATTACGTCATGACGATATGTCATCATGCACACGGAGACATCTCGAAGCGTTAATATGGCGATTAACTTACCCTGATTGCCTCTATATGGTGTAAGAACAGGTTGTCTTTTGCGTTACTATGGTGAATATATTCTAAGATATCGTTTATTGAATTTAAGTTTTAAGAGGTCATCCGCTTTCCCATTGAAGTATCTGAATTTTATTTATTTATTTATTTATTTATTTTCCTTTATTTTTATATTTCAAACATTAGTTATTCAACTTGTTATCAATAACATTTAATATTATCACTGTCCCAATTAGTTTTCTAGCTACTATATAAACATTTAAACAATGTGTTAAAACAATGTAAAGCTGGTCCCACAACAATTCACAGACATGCGTAGAAGTGCCGCGTGATTTATGATTCCGAAGACAGTAAAACAGACATGGTTGGTTACTTCTCACATTTAGCACAATATCTGTGCAATACTTAGTACAAAATACATACTTCTCGATCCTTTTTATGTGTTATGGCCGTACAATCATACAGAAAGTATGAGAGTTGTATTCACCGTTAAGATTAAAATAATTGTCATCCCATTACACTGTAGAAATTCTGTTGGACAGATTTTCGTACAAACTTTTATATTTAAACTCAGAGTATTTTAAAATTCAAATCGCAAACAGCAATAGGAAAGTTGATCCTATCGCGGCACTATAAAAAGAAATATTTTTTCACTCAATTTCATTATTATTGAAATAATGTGTTTTTTAATTAATTTATATATTCTTTGCCATATTCTATCAATAAAACTTTTATATTTCTGTAAACATTCAGAAATACATTTTGTTTTAATTAAAAATCATAGAAGTGCTTGCTAGACTAACATTGAAAATACATGGAAATACCATTATCGACCAGAATGGCAGCACAGCACAAGAGTGTTTTTTTTAACTTAAATGTAGACGTAACACAATATAATAGTCTAAGAATAAAACTAATATAAATTTGTTCAATAAATCAGTTATCAATGTATCAATAATTTGACATGCGTCTAAGCCTGTGTGAACAAAGTTTCCATTAGCAGTTATCATGGGAATATAAAATTAAATTAACATTTTAACCAAATAAGTGTATCGTACGTTTTTGTTTATTTAAATATAATATTTATATTACAGTATCAAATTAGTTCTCGTTTGGTTACGGTCCCGCGATCATCTACTTTCAAGTGATTAAATAATACGCGCATCACTTAGTGCCACTCAATTAGAAGGGTTTCTAATGTCTTAGCGGATATATGATACAAAACAATGATATATAATGCAGTACGCACTCCACAATGCATGATCTACAAGTTGGATACTTCTAACTCCAGTTACGGCATATATCATGCAACTTCCATGTGATAAAAGCATGTGATATGTTCACCCCCATTCCGGCAATTTGCATTTTCCTCGTACACATTTATAACTGTGACGTCACAAGCTACTAGTCTAATATTTCTTTTATATGTCAGTGAATATAATGTGCTCAAATGACAGATGTTAAGATATATTTACTAGACTTACTCATCGGATACAATTAGATGTTATTGTGCAGACACTACACTTTTCACCATTTTATTATTATATATTTCCAGAAACTAGGACTTGGTCATACAACTAGGATAGACAAAAAACACCCAATTTACCTAAAATGTATGGAATAGGAATGCATACATACATTGCCAGTCTTACGAGTGATCTAAAAAATGTGGATTTTACGCTGATGTTTCTTAGCGGTTTACTCGATTGATTTACCTCTAATTTGTCTGAGTGATACACTTTCAACTCATATATTCTTTGTAATATTCTCTGCTCCACGGGCGTTGAGGGTGTTGTATGCATGTTCCAAATGATAATAGCCTCATACTTTACTGTCGAGTTTCATCAAATAAACCTGATAGTCCACAATGATATTAATTGTTTTATGTCAGTAGTATTAGGTGAATGGCAACAGGAATGTGAAAAGTCTGGATTGTGAACGGATATCTATGAAATTGTTGAAATGAAGATAGCTTACAAGAACGTAACGCAGAATAGGTGTCCTCGCGCACATCAAACTAGTAAGAGGTTCAATGGGGAGGATAACTGAGGTTTCTTGTGGCAAAAGTTGTAAACATTCCAACAACAAACAATTAACATTCAGAAATCGAACTTATATAAAAATGGCAAATATAATTTTTTACAGTACTAGTAATTGATTTGTCAGATCAATTTGTAAAAGTATAACATATGAATAAAATAAATTGAAAAGGGCTGAACAAAATGTTGAAGCATTACTTTCATCTTAATCGTTAGCTTTGACTACTATATAAACTGTGAGAGTGAATATTTACGCTAAGCAATTTCTGCTTAATTCAAAGTAAGACTTAAAAACACTTTCACAATGTGATTGGTGCAAGGATATAGTAAACAATGCAGCACACGGTATATGTTAACAATACAAATTGCTGTGTTCCGCCTAATATAATATATACTAGTATACTGTAACAGTACATTCCATGGAAGATGATACGATAGCGACACTTATACCTACATTTTACGAGCAAGTCTAGTGCCAAACTCTCAGAACTAATATATATGGCGACGAGGATTAAGTTTCGAATGGCTACAACAATACCATCTAATCTTGTTAATTCTGATTGATATGTATGTAATCATATTGCAGGAAGCCTAGCGGGACGTATATATACCATGTACGCAATCATAAGTGTCCATTTGTCGGGGTAATGATGTGAAATGAAAATTTATGTAGTGATGGTACTAACACATTGATTACAACTCTCTAATTTTAGTTAGTCGTGGTATCATCTCATTTGATAATATGGGAGGCAATTAAGAATAATTATTAATTTTCAATAATTTCTTCGTAGCCGTTAGTGTGACTGCAATTACAAAGCACATTATTCATATCTAGGCCAGTGACAACTCGATGAAATGATCAAGGCCATGATATACGACAGGCGCATTTGACAAACAATACACAATACAATTCCAAATATTAATCGGCAATGACCATCGGTGGCCTTGAATATATTTATATTGTTGTTATTGACCAATGAGCTTTTACTGTAGAATGTCATCGCGGCAAAGTATAATTATATTTACTCGTGGTGCATGTGACGGGATACATGTAATTAAATTAAAAACTGAAACACAGTATTGAGATGCAAGAAATATTTCGTATCGACAAAAATGTGGACAAGAAACTAACCATGATTTAAAATCTAACGTCCTTTATAACTCTAAGCTACGTAATATATTTCACGTAATATTATTCAGTCTCATAATACACGTTCAATTAAAATGATGATTTAATTGTAGCTGCTCCTGCAATATGCAGTAATACATACTGATTTATGTAATATTTATCATTGCATTCATCACAGTATATACTTCCACGTGTTGATTGTGAATTATTGCACATCTTCATATTTCCAACGATCACAAGGAATCGGTATCATCATATCGATTCAAGCAATTTAAAATACAGTTTACGTAGTTCACCAGCGAAATATGGATTCTATGTTTACTATGCATCAATGAACTACGCGATTAAGAACTTTCGTATATGGTAATTATTTTTTTCATCTTGCACGCTTAAGCTGCAATCATAGGTAATTTTACACATAAAACTACACATAAAATTATTCCTTAAAGTTAAAGAATGACGTTATTTAAAATGCTGTGAACGTTGACCTTAATCACTGCCCGGTCAGCATCTGATAACCGAGTTCTGATCGACCGATGAGAATATACATTTCAATATTAGCGTATAATGCATATAATACGAGGCTTTAGCTCTGATCCAATCACACGATATCCTGTAACATAAACGGAACCATTAATATGAACACAAAAGAGAATTTTAAATCGACATAAATCATGATTGATAA